TTGTTTATAGACGAAAGCGTCTCTGATCTGTGCCTCGATGCGAACAAGGTGGTCTGTGGTGGATCTACTCTCTTGAAACCAGCACTGAAATGGGTCGAGCAAATTGTTTGTTTCAAGAAAATGTACAAGTCGGCAGTTTATTATTTTTTTGAAGACTTTGCACAAGCAGCTTGTAAGTGCAATAGGCCTATAAATCGAAGCTGAAGAAGGGTCCTTGCCCTCTTTCAAAATAGGAATAATATTAGCCTCTTTTCAGGAGGCAGGTATAGTGCCAGAAAACCTGATAGCAATGTACAAACAAAGTAAGGTTTTTGTGTTTCCATTGGTAGGTTTTTTTTAACATTTTATACACCATACGGTCAGGACCTAGGGCAGAAGTACTGCAGGAGCTTAAAGATGTTCGGAGCTGAGCAAAACTGAAAGCTTGGTTATATGCATTGTATCTATTGCATTTGTGTTCGAGTTTGTGCTTTTGTATTCTTGTTCTGTATTTTTGGAAAGTGTCCGTATAGTGTGATGAGCTGGACACCCGTTCGAAGTGTGCACCGAGGAAGATTGCCTGATCTTCTAAGGTATCACCCTGAGTGTTTACGAGTGGAAGTGTGTGTATTTGTTTTCCTGCTATCCTACCAACCATGTTCCAGGCTTTAGCCTCCTGTGTGTAAGAATTGATCCCTGACACAAACTTCTGCCAGCTTTCTCTTCTGGCCTGCCGACGCGTTTTCCTGCCTTGAGACTTTATTTTCTTGAAGGTGTCAAGATTTTCGGCTGTCGGTGAGTTCCGAAGCAACCTCCATTCTCTGTTTTGCTGTTTGCGCGCGTTTCGGCATTCAGTGTTTCACCTTCGCACACGCCGTTTTCCAGGGTGTCTATTTGTTTGTGGGGTGCATTTTGTTGCAGCATCAATCAGAAACGCTGTGAAGTAGTTGACAGCAACATCAATGCTTAAAGTACATATGGCACTCCAATCTAGACGAGCGATGGTATAAAACTGTTCCCAGTCGGCTCTGTTTATGAGCCATTTGGGAACACGTGGTGGACACTCAGTTGCTGTAGTTGTGCTCAAAACTACGGGGAAGTGGTAACTTCCGGACAGATTACTGACGACTTTCCACTGGAGTAGAGGCACAAGAGATGAAGATACTATGCTTAGGTCTATAGAGGAGTAGGTATTATTAGCAACATTATAATAGGCCTGTTCTTTTTGATTTAGGAGACACGCGCTCGACGAGAAAAAGAACTGTTCAATCAGCCGACCTCGCGCGTCGCAACGAGAGTCACCCCATAGCCTACTATGCGCATGAAAGTCTCCAAGGAGGATATAAGGCTCTGGAAGTTCATCAAAGATTGTAAATCACGTTTTTGCAGCTGATAGCACGGAGGAATGTAAAAAGTGCAGATTGTCATCAGTTTATCAAACAGAACCGCTCGAACAGCCACTGCCCCAAGGGATGTTTGGAGTTGTAAGTGTGTGCATACGATCCCTATTTCACTATAATGGCAACACCTCCGGATGATGTCATGGCATCATGACGGTCCTTTCGAAAAATCACGTAGTTACGAAGGAAGTTGGTGTTTTTGAATTAGTGTTTCTTTTACACACAGCACTTTTGATGAATGTTCGTGTAAAAGCTCTCGGACGTCGTCCAAGTTTCTGAGAAGGCCCCTGACGTTTCATTGTATAATTGAGTGTTCATGGTGAATGTAAAGTAGTGCTGTGTGTACCAAAAGCGAGTGGCTGTTTAGACAGGAAGTTTGCGTTTACGTAAGAGGGCCATCACCAGGCCCTGTTATCTGCTTTTTTCGTTTTCTTGGCGCGCTCCAAGGAGTCGCGCAGCTCTTTTGGCTCCAAGGGCACCGATGTATCCATTACCTCCTCGGAGGCACTGGATGTCCGCACGTGCGAGGTGTTAGTTCAATATTTTGGCCTAGCATGGTGAGGTGAAGCCTTGAGACCTGAGGACTCTGGAGTCTCCGCTCTGTGTTCGGGAGTAGGCGGTGTAGTCTGGACTACAGCCGCCTTGGGGCAGGTGCCACAATCGCCGGCTCGGTATGCGCGGACCGAAGGAGGGGCGAGGGCTGGTGTGGCGGTGCCCCCTGACGCGCTGCATCAGCATATGTAGGTCCATAGAATGGTGCTACTCTTCGTGCTTCCCTAAATGAAATGTTCTCCTTCACCTTCAATGTAATTATCTCTTTTTCTTTTTTCTAGTATGTGCAGGAGCGTGAATATGCAGCATGGTTTCCTTCACAGTTTACACAGTGTGGCGGTTGTTTGCAGTTCTCAGACACGTGGCCTAAGACTCCACATTGTGCACAAGTCTGGCGACCACACCAGGTTTTAGAACCATGGCCATACCTCTGGCATTGGAAGCAACGACGCGGGTTCAGTATGTACGGTCTGATAGAGGCCTTCGTGTACCCTGTTTGAATACTTTCTGGCAGATTACTGGAAGCGAACGTGAGTATTAGGTGTTTTATTAGTGTTACCTTGTTGTCCCTTCTGATAACGATCCTTTGTACATTGGTCACATTCTGACTCTTCCACCCCTCCAGAAGTTCCTCTTCAGTCAAGCCAAGCAAATGAGCATCATATACCACTCCACGGCTTGTGTTCATAGATCTGTGTGGTGTTACAGTGATTGGAGTGTCACCAAAAGTGGAAAGATTGTGTAGCTTCTCAAACTGTTCTTTTTCTCGAATTTCGAGGAGAAGGTCTCCGCTGGCCATTTTAGTAACTTTGTACCCGGCCCCAAGAGTTTCTGTCAGACACCTGGCTACTACAAAGGGGGATACGGCTCTGGCTTGCTTGCCACTTTTGTCACTATGTATGACGTGAAAATGGGAAAAGATTTCTTTTGAACGGTTGAAAAAACTCAAGTCTTTGGTGCGTACGCGCTTTAAGGTGGTGCGATCATTTAACGGAGGAAAAGCTGTACGCATGAGTGTTTCATTTTCTTCAGAAGCGTTGGCAGCCACCCACCAAGGAGCCCAACGAGGGGACGCTACAAGTTTGCGGATGCTAAAACCTGCAGACGCCAGCTGTACAACGCAACTATAACCCAATGCGCCTAGACCAAGTTAGGCTATGTGCACAGGGTTAACCCTTGCCGCCAGGAAAATTGGAAGTAAACAGAAGAGATAAGTAGACAGGACAGACTAAAAGTGATAGATGAAGACAAAGTTGTAGGATAGAGAGATAAGAAAAGGCGACTGTCGATTTCCCTGGGTGGGTCAGCCCAGGGGTGCCGTCTACCTGAAGCCGGGGCCAAAGGGGTGTGTTGCCTCTGCCGGGGGGTCTTAAAGGTCCGATTACCCAGCGTCAGCTCAACCCCAAGAATCCCCTTTTTCGCGGACACGGCAAAGCCACGCACGGCTAGGCGTGGGAGGGAGCCGAAACCCCCCCTCCCCCGTTAGCTCGGTTCCGTGGTGTCTCTACACACCAAACACCTGCTTTCACAGGCGCCCCTGTGGGGAACTGCCTGTAACTGAACTAGCCAATATATAACTGTGTTTCAATTCGCTACTACGTCCAATTACGTTTTGTTGAATTTCTTCATTTGTGCTTTTGTGACGTTTTGCGGCAACGTTTCATAATCATAAATTCGTAGCGGCTTACCAAGTTGTCAGTTCTGCCCCGCTCACAATACCTCTCGCTCAGTTTGACCACGAAAAGATACCGCTAGCAGCTGTCCTCGAATGATATGCTTAAAAGATGTCAAGAGCTAACGAAAGAAAATAATGTTCAAAATTATCAAGACAGAAAAGTTGAACTAGCCGTTGTGTATCGACAGTAATGTCATATACAGCACATGACTACTGGACTCTGAAGCTTTATGTGCGTTCTTTTTATTTTTTTCTCTCTCTCTCTCTTTTCAGTCTTCTTTAAACTTTCTCATCCCTTTTTCCTAAGCAGGGTAACATACTGGTTATTCCAAACTAACAGACATTCCTGTTGTTTCACACTTTAGTGGTTGCCTTCTAACTTCCCTACAGTAAATATTCTATCGTCATTTTCTTCGGGGAGGACTGGTAATGATAAAACATGGTTTTATTTGACAATTACCTAGAATAAAACTACAGAAATTGATAATTACGTGATTTTTAATAGGCAAATTTTTATTTCTACGTGAATTCCGTCAATCCAAATAATTCTTTTCGTGTTCCTTTTGCTACAGAAGGGACTCCACGTACTCATTTCCACCTCAAGTGAAAATATTTTGAGAAGTTTTATTGTCACCTATTTTCATGCCTCAAAAGTGTTTTGATCTTAGTTTAGGCGTAGTGGCTGACACCAGATCAATTTTACCCCACAGAAGTTGTTTAAATCTAAAGGCAAACCACAACGTAAGTGCGCGTTTTTAGTTTTCACAACCTTTGGTATGCAACTGCCTTGAAAAAGAATCAATATCACGCTTCCATGGTGAACGATACAGCAGTGTAGTAGTTATTCCCCCCACTCAGTTTTTAAGCAGAATTCTGATGTACCATGATAGTCTAAACTAGAACGGCTCTTAGAAAAAGCTTATTATATCAAGCTTTTCTTTACGTACACTTTGCCATAATGTTATACCAAATACTACAGAGTTTTGTGCGCAAGCAATCCTGAAATACATATCTTCAGACGCACTGGACGAAGGCAACTTCTTATTTTATGAATAAATTATCTGCTTATGAGCCTGTCTGACATCACAAATATTTCCAGCTGTCTCCAATATCAACCTCAGTTTCTATCCCAGTGATGCATAGGGGCGGTTGCAGTGAAATCATTCATCATTCGAGCGAACACCTGGCTCTTCCTGACACTGTTTCATATTAGCCAATAGAGCAGCAAAAATTACAATATTTTCACTTTCTCTACCCTCTAACACTGTAAGCGTAATCGCATTGGTGGAAATTTATGATGACGTAGGCGAACGACGTCCTCCATTTGCTGTAACCATCCTTGGAAGAATGGTTTAAATACGCTCCCGCACGAGGCTACACTACTGATTTTCTTTATCACCTGAAGGCGTTCGATAGAAGTAAGTACAGCCAAGTTTGTTTTGCTTGCATGCGAGCTTTGTCATTTTTTATAGGCTGCTCGCGGATTACTAGAAATGTGACTCAATTGTGGGGTGTCTTACTTGAAACCACTTTTAGTGTAGTCACTTAAGAAGCCCAGAGAGGCCTAGCTCAGCTAATCGCATCGCAGCAGCTTTTAATCTCCGTGACCGGAATAGTAGTTCCACTCATACACTCGGCAATGTTCTCAGAAGGTGGTGTCAGTGGCCGACTGACTCGTGACGTCAGGCTGAAGTACTCGCTTGTTGGTGCAGCCTTGTCTGCATCCGCATTTGAATGGAAATTTCGTAGACTTCTAAAATTGCATATAACATCAAAAATGTCTTGAACAGTCACAAAGTTAACGGATTTGTAAGCCCAATATTCAATCAGGTCAGACAGGATAGAGTGGATTGGAAAACATTTGCAGAGGTATTCATTGAGCAATGAAAAATAATTTAAATTGATGAAAACAGTCGTGACATGCTGCTAGCAGTTTGTCACTGTGCTGCTATTTGCATATCTATGAAGTACTTCGACACCAAATTACCGAGACGAGAAGTACATATGCGTTCAAAGTGGAGTTTAACAGTATTTACTTTCACTTAGGAGCTTAAGAGCTCATGTCACCGCAATCCTGTTTAAAAAAAGACCATTAGTGGGCACAGGGAAAACCACTACCCATCATATTTGTGTATTGTAGTTGTGGGTGGATACTGGATAGCGGGTAGTGGAAAGCAGATTCTAAATACGGATGCTGGATAGTGCATACTGGACAGCGGACACTGGATAGCTCGTGGTGGCAGATAGTGGATATTGGATAAGGATACGGACAGCGGAGGGTGGAAGATAATGGTAGATGGATGAGCTTGCGAATGGGCTACATACAACGAAAACACATGGGGGAAGTTAAGCACCGCAAAAATGTTGTTGGCTCACGTTGTGAAATCAAACCGGCATTATAATAGCTGTTTACACCAAGTACAAACAACCTAGAACAGTGAATAACTTTATTCGCTATTCTACATTTATTTTTGTTGTGCTAACTACTTTGCCAGTAAAAACAGCCTCTGCAGAGAACAAAGTAAAAAAAAAAACCTTCACTTGCGCATTACTGTAGTACTGTGGCGGCTCCAATTAAAGTGACTACACAGATGATGAATTCTCTGAGCTAACTGAAAGACATTCAAAAAGACATCATTAATCAAACAGAAATTATTTTTTTAGGTAAGCGGCATAACTATGTGTCTAGGTGCACTGCTCCTTTCGCGCAACGAAACGCAGATATTGAGTGCTTGTTGTAGGCAAGGCACGTTTAATCTTGATGATAAAAACACTTGATTTGTATTCGGGGTTTAGCGTCCCAAAACTACCATGTGATTATGAAAGACGCCGTACTGGTAGGCTCTGGAAGTTCGAACCACCTGGGTTTTTTTTTAACGTGCACCCAAATCTCAGCACTTGAGCATACAGCATTTTGAGAAGACAACACAGACACGAAGCTCACCATGTCTGTATTTTGCACTTTACGTGTGTGTTTCTGTGTTTTAACCTATTGTCTGCAATACATTAAACGTGGTTTCATAATACAGTACAATCGCACTATACACCGCGAAAGCTCGGCGCCTATTACTGGCTGTTAATATCACTTTTTTGCGAGCTGTCGCAAACAGAATCGTGGGGCATTCCATGCCGGGACAATGGCCTCCGCAACGAGCCAGCAGCGTAAGCTTGGTGACAGCTCTTCAAATAAATCTCGTTAAACAAAAAAAAATGCACTACTTCTGTTGTCAAATAGCCAAATACTTTCGCCCCGCCGCAGTGGTCTAGTGGCTAAGGTACTCGGCTGCTGACCCGCAGGTCACGGGATCGAATACCGGCTGTGGCGGCGGCATTTCCGATGGAGGCGGAAATGTTGTAGGCCCATTTTCTCAGATTTGGGTGCACGTTAAAGAACCCCAGGTGGTCAAAATTTCCGTAGCCCTCCACTACGGCGTCTCTCATAATGAAATGGTGGTTTTGGGACGTTAAACACCACATATCAATCAAATAGCCAATTCCCTTCAAAAAATGAACACGCAATCCGCCAACCCGAGAGGAGCAAGCAAAAAAAATAACGAAACTACAGCCTAAATTTAATAAAATTTTATGTTCTGCATAGGCAAATCGAATCGACAGAGAACGATACCGGAAGCCGGCCCGTGGAGCTACACAGGTGGCCAGATCCCAGTCGCGCTAGACCATTGACTCCCCTCCATCCCCCCCCCCCCCGCTCCACCTTTGCCTTCCACTGAAGCCCAACTTCGGCATTTTGTCATGCTTGAAAGGTAGCTTGCAGGGTGGCTTTTGAATTCCCGTTACTTTCGACATAAAAGCAGAAAGAGTGCACAGGGGGGATCGCATAAATTCATTACTACGTCATCAAACCACAGAAAATAAACGCTAAACAAATATGGGCCAAGAAAGTGCTTAACAGCGCAAACGACATGAGGGGATAGAAGAGACGAAAACAGAGTGCTGAACTGGCAACCAGTTTTTTTTTTTTGCAAACCAACTGTAATATGTAGGAAAACAGAATCTGCACATGACCACGCAACATCAGTTAAATCGCACGTACGAGCGGCAAACGGCCTACCTTATAAAGGGCCAGTCATATTAGTTGACCCCAGATAAATAGTTGTGTTCTGCGCACGCGACAAGTTTGCTGGGCTATGTCGCAGGGTGTACAGTGAAGGACCTAATAAAGAAGCATGCACTGAGAAACTTGCTACGCGCTATGTTGAATGTACTTTAACGATTGTATACAAGATATTGTTTACATGCAGGCTCTGTTACATTGGCCAAACAGGCCGATGCATCAATGATCGGTTGAGGGAGCACGCTTACTCTCTAAAGGCTCCGTTCCTAGCTACTTGGTGTACTATTGCAAAAAGCGTGGTTTTCAGCCAATTCTTGACAAGTGCGTCATCATGTGGCAATATAAAAATCTGCATGAGCGCAAGAATAACGAATCCTTTCACATTCAACAACTTGGTGCTTCGTGTGTTAGCGTACCTTCGACTTTTTCTTCACGACTGTAAAATTAGTTATTTGGGGTCCACTGATATGACTGGCTCTTGATAAGGTAGGCCGTTTGACGCATGTATGTGTGGTTTTGCTGATGTTGCGTGGTGTGCGCAGATTCTGTTTTCCTAAGTATTGCAGTTGATTTGCAATAAACTTTGGTTGTTAGTTTAGCGTTCTGTTTTTGTCTTTTCTATCCCCTCATGTCGTTTGCGCTCTTAAGCACTTTCTTTGTACACCATGCACAACCAACCAGCGCAATAAAGCACCTTGTTAAAATAGGGGCCGATGCCCCTCCCAAATATCACGCCCCTATTTTTCCCTGTAGCCAGTGTTTTTTGTTTGGTTATACAAAGTGCAGTGATAGTAGCTGAAGAGCTTTGTAAAACTACCCACCTTTTGGTGAAAACCTTGGCGAAACTCTTTGCCAGCTTGCGGCAGATGGAGAGATGTAGCGTGGGGGACGACTTGACGCCCGGGTGACGAGGAGGAGGACGGGGTTTTGCTTGTGTGGCGGCAGTAGCAGCAAAAATAGCGAAGTGAGCGACTCGCTTGATGCCACAATTTCTGGCATACAGCAACAATAATCTTTGATGTGAGGATGGCGGCGCTGCTTGCACACGCCTACATTATTGCATAAAATGCACAAAGTAACTCACAGCCGCCCTACCTTTTAAAAAAAAAATTGCCCGCAGCTTCCCTCGGGGGAACACTGAGGAGGATGCGGACCATATAATTGGTTAACGGGGTGTTAAAGTGCGACTTACTTGGGTCGATGGCTAAATTGGTTAACGTGGTTGTGAAATGGGGTGTTAAATTGCGACTTACTTGGGTCGATGGCTAAATTGGTTAACGTGGTTGTAGGAGGGGGTGTTAAATGAGTGAACACGTACACACGTATGCGAAAGGGCGGCGCTGGTCGAAGGGACGTCGAGCATTGTGTTTGTGGATTCGTTGGAATTCATTTCACCGCGACCTTGGACGTCGACGCGCCGTACAAACCAACCGACGAGCGGCAACTGGGCGAGCGAGCGCCGACCTTGAGTATATATACAGCACGACGGCGCATGCACTGTCAGCTGTTGAATGTTCTCGAAGCGCGACGTCACATGCGCGTCCACTGGAGAATCAGGAGAATTGTAGATGTCGAACGCGGTGTGTAGAGGAGGAAGGGTGCACAGATGGTGGAGGAGTGAAGCGCGCGCGGTGTGTAGAGGAGGAAGGGATGCACAGATGGTGGAAGAGTGGGCGACGGCGCGACGGCGCATGCGCGCGCGTCAGCTGTCGAATGTTCGAGAAGCGGTGCGGACGGCGCACTACAAGGCGCGAGTATAAGATGCTCCGCATCTAAAAAAAAATTATGCTGCTCGCGTACACTTGCGACGTGCGCCAGTCTTCGACTGACGCGGCGAGTCTGAAATGGCTGATAATACCGTTCGCGAGAATCCGTCGATCTAGGGGCAATATGGAAGTTTCTGATGTGTAAGAAACGTAACGTCGATTCTTTCTGCTGCAGAGCGCGCTGCCAAAAACTATTCTGACGCTGTTCATCATTGGTTTGCCGAAAAATTTGAAGACGGTGCATCCAAGACTAGTCCCGTTTATCAGCAACTCAGGAATCGTACTTGGCAACCTTGCGCCTGCTGGTCTCTCGGGTTGCGCTCACCGCACGTCGTAATAATTCAAGAAGATCCCCCTAATTCAATGACTGCCTCACTCATAAAACACACCAACAATGACCTGGGAAAAAAAACATCATACGCTTAAGCACAAACAAGATCGCGACAACAAGACCACGTTGTAGCACCGTGTCGCCACGTCTGAAAAAAAAAATAAGGGAGGACGGCAGTGGCGACGCTAGTGGTCACAACCTCAGTGCATACAGAAATTAATCTTTGACGTTGTCATGCGTGATTTTATTGCCGCCGTGACGGTTTGGCGTACCCTCTCCACCATGGTACAGCATGGCGCACCATCATTTCCCACACTCACCATTTCCTCGCTGTTGTTCAGCATTCGTGGGATAGCGGGTGTCGTATGCTACCACTATATAAACTATTTTGCTGCTACTCTCCTCCATCATCCCCCATTCTTTTCGCTATGCCATCTAACGTTCACCACGTCACCCGCCATCTTACATATATGACCTGCATGGTTGCCAGTATACCCAGTATTATTTGCACTATATCCAGAATGTTTTCCAGTACCCACTGTGTTAGTTTTCCTGATAGGGAGCAATGTGTTCAAATAAAAATATCTTCAACCTGTTGAGCTGCCTGTACTTTTTCTTGCAGAAACCTTTTCAACGTGATAATGAATGCCAAAGCTCTACTAGTTGCTCTCGTGGCTTGCGCCATTCTTGTCGCCGGTAAGTGTGGTGATTACATATTGTTCCTTCATGCTGCACTTTCCACGCATGTCTGCACGCTGGAAAACAAATTAGACTGACAACTTTGACTGTATAGTTTATTCTTTCGTAAATGCGTTCCAGCTATATGCACCTAAGACACCAAACAAGGCTGTGGCATATGCGCTGCGAACTGAATTTTAGCTTCACAGCTAAAAATTGGATTTACTTGTTACGAGGCCACCCATTTCTGAAAACCAGGCACAATTCCTCTTATTAAAAGGTTGAAATGCTGCTGTTCACTTCATGGTTCGAATATCTTGACCTCACAAGTTCGATGCTTACCGACGATACGTGCATCCGTAATGGTCACAAGCCTCTTGTACTGGCAAGTGAGAAAGTTATCAGTGAGTACAATTAGTCAGTTGGCTTTCGGATAGGACATCGTGTCACTCGCTACACATATCTCCGTTTACACTGACGAACAGCTCTTTAGTGGAACTTAGTTAGAAAATTTCTAGCTTTTACGCGTTTTTTTTTCTCTTAATCCAGGCACCAACGCATGCGGCGGGGAAGGCCGCTCCTGAGTCCGGCCGGTGTGGCGGCAGCGAGGGGCGCAGCGAACACGGGCAAGCCGAGGCACGCCAGGAGAGCGAGGCTGCCCGCTGCGGTGGAAGCGGCCGCTGCGATGGCTAGGCGTGCCGCCAAGAAACTTCTCTGGTCTGGCTGTCGCAGTCTGTCTGCTGTCAATGTTGCCCTTCTTCTAAGAGCATTGAGACACTCTATTGATGAATAAATTCAATAAAGCTGCATTCATTTGCATTTGTTGAGTCATGGCGCTGATTGCCACTGATATAAGCTAAGAGTATATATTACTTTATATAGTTCATTATAGCTTTTTGTGAACAGGTATTAGACACAACGGTGTCTTCTGACTGCCGATTCTTGTGCTGGATGCCCGGAGTTCGCGGCGTAAAATTGCAAAGACCATCACCATGCTGGCTCACGTTCATCATAGCCAAGTTAGGCCAAGCTATTTATAGCCAAGCCCTATTATGCTTGGTTGGGAATAGTGAAACATAACTACTAAACAACAACTAAACTAGTTGAGATCAGCATAAATAAACGGTAATAATTAGGGTAAAGGGATTACTGGTTATGCATAGGGAAAATAGGAGTGAAATGCAATGCGAAACATCGCCTAGCAGGAGCTGGCTTGACTACCCGGCGCATATGGAGAGAAGGAAGAAAATATGATAGGTTTGCTACTAAAGGAAAACTTTGAGGACGATTGAGCTTCGCCTTGAGCAGTTGGACGTACTAGCGGGAACACACCTCGTTCGCATCTACTCAACAGTCAGGATTTCCTTTCGGTGGACACCTCAGCAATACCGCAACCAAGGCAACGTTTGTGCAAGTAACATATAAGGCGTTCTAATCTATACTGGAGTTAAGGCCTATCAATAATAAATTAGAGAAATTCGCCCTAGACCACAGTTCGTATACTATTGAGAATCGGCGGACTATTCTCTACTCAACTCATTTGCATAAGGGAACGTTTAAGCAACCCTACTGTATTTCCTTATATAAGAATCTTATTCAAGGTCTAATGTTGTATACAACGCTACGCTGCAACACAAAGCACATGTCCAAGGAATGTATTTACAAACAACACTAATGAAGCGCGCAGAAATATCATACTTTTTTGACAGCCCACCGATCTGTTCAGTATGTGGCTGCCAGGACAGCATTTTTCAGTCGTTGCAGTGAGTGCCACCATAGTTTTCAACGATTGCTTGCATCATGCGTTTGTTTCACTTAATAAGAACTCACGCTGTTGCGTTTTCTGAGTTTAAAATACAAATTTATTGCTAAAAATAATGAGCTTACGCTATTTCTTCCTCATTCTCTCGCCCTAAAACGACTACACTTAACAAATCTCTCCGATGCGGTAGCTTTCTTACTTCGCATAAAAAAAGATTTAAATGCCTGACTGTTGTTTATTTCGATTAGTTTTTCAGCTTTTAAAATATATTTGCTGTCACAATCTCTTTTCCGCCGTTAAAAATGTAAGACTTTGAACACAGCATGAGATCTTGCGCTGAAACTCCTGTTTGCCGCTCTGCAGGCAACGCTATTGTAATATTACCGAAAGCAGCTGCTATCAGTCTTCCACAATTAAACTATTATATGAAAAACAGAAAACGTAAATAACGTTAGCCCCTAAATAGGTGGTAAAATAATCAAGCAAGAGATTACTAGTCTTACCCGAGGAATTCGCATTATGGATAACAACAAGGAACCAGCTTACACCTCTCGACTGCAATATCGTTGGTTTAATAGATATAGTTTCCCCAGTCGTGTATGTTAAAATACAGAATCAGCCGAGGCGATCGCGTAGGCGTATAGCAACCGGTGCAAAATAAAACGGGCAGTCATTTAGTTTTTTTTTCTTTTTTAGAGAAACAAAAAAACAACAAACATTGTTTTCCGTTTCCGGTTTACGCAGCGCCATCTCTTTAGTGCCCTCGATAGTTCCACGCGCTATCGCTGCTCATTTTTTGTCGTGTTCTCAAGGCAACAGTTCACCCTTTTCTAAATAATTTCTTCTATAAAACTATCAGTCCGCCACCGGGGACGTCGCGAATGGCCGGCGCCGTACTGCTTGCGACCAATTTACGAGAAAGCCAACTGTAAAGGCGATGGATTCGAACATAGTTCCGACGCTAGCGAAAGCCCCGTCCGCCTGTGCCGTTGCATTTACAGCGTGTGACATACTACAAAGAAGCTCGTTACCAGCAACCACAATGTGTTTTGGACGAGTCGCAGCACAACGCTGTGGTATCCGCGCAATATCGCAGGCCCAGAGCTAATCCAGGTGGCGAACACAGGCGCGCACTCGATGAGCGAGCGTCCGGGCAGCCGACGGCAATGGCAGCGAATTTCCAGGTGGTCCCAAAGCACAGGTGAACTGCAGACGCCCAAGCCGACTTTCACTGTGCATTCTGTGCGCGTTATATGCAACACGGCCGAGCCCATTGCAGGCAAGCGTGATCCGTATCGCACGCTCGAGAAGTACGACAGAATAAAGAATAATCCCCTTCTTGTGAAGAAAGCCAGCGCCGATTTCTTCCCTTAGTCAGACTGAAAAAAATGCATCCGATAGGCCAGCTGTCTTCTCGGCCACAATATTGGCCGCCATTTCCAGCCGGTGGTGTGTTGAGTTGGTAGTGATAATCTTGTTTACAGCGTGGCGACGTGTGGAGACCTGCTATAGACTTTGTGGGTGCGGCAAATTGTAAAGTCATGCACCTCCCCCTTTTATTTTTTCAATAAAACCTATTCCTCCCGAAAGAAGCAGTGCCCGCTCATACACGCGTACTACATACAAAGCACCGCGGCGTAATTCCTAGATCGTCGAACCAACACCCCCTAGATTTCTGGGGCATTTCCGATGTTTGCATGACGTCACATGTCGGCCCGTGCGGGCACTGCGTTGCGGTATTCCGGAGCGTCGAGCTTGCTTCTACTGGTGTTGTAAAGGTCTGTGATGGGTGCAAAGTACTATGTCATGTAATTGAGAAGTTTTCTCGGGCACAAGTGAACCAATCTGCATGTAGTTTTACTCTCATAAAAAGAAATCATACGACGTAAGATGAGCTTTATCACAGACGATAGTCTTTCTCGGGGTACTTCGACGTACAAATTTTGATCTGTCTGTCTGTCTGTCTGTCTGTCTGTCTGTCTGTCTGTCTGTCTGTCTGTCTGTCTGTCTGCACAGTTGTCTCTTTGTCCGCCGTAACGATACCCCAAACCGCCGACCCCATCCGGAGAGCCCACCCATATTGCTGAAGTTTCAGCGTTATTACTTGTACGATTGTCAATTAAAAAGCAACTCTTGCGCATATCTGAAGTACTATAACAACACCTCAATATTCTGCATGTCTGTCTTTATACTGGCGAAGGCATACATAAGTAATTCTAAGGATCGTAGCGTTTAACACGCTGCACTGACAATACAATGCTATGCTCAAAAAGGCAAGTGTTTCCAATGTTTTGCTAAGACGACACGGTGGTGGCACCTGCCCGTCGCTTTGCGTTTTACACCTTATCACCTAACTGCCAGATAGTGCTCGTGTAAACATAAAATGAACGTTTTATTCATTCTCTTCGGGTGCAAGACTATCCTCTTTCGACAACATTTGCAGTGAAACACGCAGATACGGGGCCAATTTTTTTTGTTAAAACATCACTTTTTCTGCAGTGTTGCTGATTTCTGAGCGGCCGCTTTCTTCTCCGCATCGTCTTGGATACTGTCATCTTTCAGCCTGCAGAAGTTGTGCAAGATAACATTGGTTGCTGTGTGAACTACCAAGCGCAAGACCATTTGTGTGGTGTGGCCGTTCTCACATGTACGGATGTCGGTCTGTGCTTCCATCAAAGAAAATGCCAGCGAAGTGACGATACCACGTTGGTCACTTCACGAGCGAAAGTCCTTGGCGTATTCTCTGAATGACAGTTTCTGCACAATTAGCTTTTTTACAAGATCCTTGTTTGCGACTTATGGCTGTGGAAATTTCAGTCCTCATCTGGTTAGGGTCGCTATCATGGAACTATTTTCTGCCTGAATTTCTACGTTTTCTATAACATGTGCGCTGAAACAAGCGGTGCATGAAAGTTTTTTGGTATGTGTAGCTTATCCTGCGATGTAAACAACGGCATCCATATCATGTGGGGAGCCGGCGATGTTGTCTTCGCTGACAGCCACGAAAATCTTTCAATTCGTCGGATTCTCATTGACATCTCCAAACTCAATTTCTTAGTGTGAAATTGTCAAAACGTTTTGAAGACGCAGCTTCTTATCACACTCGTAGAGTTGGCGCACGGAAATGTGGTACTGTGCTTCTGCTAATTGGCGATACCGGCTAAAGCAATCTTCCAGTACGTCCGTCTGAAATTTACCCAGCAAGACGTACTTGAAGTGAAATTCCTCTTAATAGTAACGTGGGAGTTCAACCAGGGAATAAGAACATCAGTCTCAGAGCACGCTGTGTTTCCTTTGTCAGGGATCCGCTGCTAATGTCAATTTTACCCCAGGCGTCCAGCCATTCAACAATGCTATCAAGGAAAGCTCATGGCATGTCATCGACAGAGATTCCAGGATCTTGCATGCTGTCCCTTAGTCGCTGGCCTTTCGTCACACACAGGTCCCGTTAATTCGGGAGGCGATCGCCGGGCTAATTCCAAGGGCCGAAGTATCGGCCCCCCGAACCGCACCACGAAAGCGTGGACAATTTAGAAGTGGTCCTTTTTGGCGCGCCAGCGGACGCCGGCTGTGGCCCAAAGAACAAGTCAGAGCCGAAAGTTGATAAACAAACAAAATTATATTCTCAATGATGGCAGATCGAAAACAATACACAAGAATGCACACTCCACAATATCTGCATACAATATGTCACCAATCAAACAACGTACTACACAGTACAATCAGCCACACTCGAAACAATGGACAAAGACAACAATACGCACCACAATGCAGTCGCATGCATTGAACAACCAAGACACTTAAAGACTAAAGAGATAAAAAAACCTATTCAGTCCAAAGTTCTTGGAACCAAAGCCTAGATGATACTCTTCCGAGAATCACTCACTCAAAGTCCAGCGTTGTTGTCGTTCCACAGCCCTCGAAGTTTCTCTTCCAGGAAACCTCGCCGAAGTTTCTCTTCCAGGAAACCTCCCGTCTTCAATAGGCCACTCTCCAAGCTTCAAACTTCTTCGCCGGAAACACGTCGGCTTCACACCCGCCGCTGTTTCCACGCGTCTTCGCTCG